TATGTATACATTTGTCTATATCTATCTCTATTCGTTTTGGCTGTTACAAACAACCGTTATGTGAACAAAATTAATATACCCTTGTGCACAAGTGCGCTCGGCTAAAAACGAATAAACTACAACTCCTTAAAATAATTTTACTCTTCACTTAACACTTTCTTTGACAATCATTTTTTGCTTCTCCGTCTTCTTCAGTTTCCTCTTCAAGGACGGTCATTGTCTTTGCTGTGCGTTTTATTTTGCCAACATTTGTTATCTACTCAGAGCAGATTTTTCTTCCCGTAAGGCTAAAATTATTTATTTTATTTTTATTTCGCAAACTTTTCTAACTTTCTTCTCCACAGTGCTGCTTTGTGGGCATTTTCATACTCATTAGGCTACTTGAGGGATTAGCCGCTGGTGTTAAAATGAGTTGAGTTGAATTATAGCCACTCGTACTTGTGTGGAAAGTATCTTTGTAGATGCTTGCTGCTATGAGCTTATAGTAGAAACATTTTATTATAATAGATGATACTTTTCCACGTACATATGTATGTATATATATAATCTGATATTTTGTTTGTGTTGGCGCATTTAGCTATATAAGCATGGCATTTAGTGTCATCTGGCACGTGTCAAGTGCTTATGGCTTCCTTGTTTTGCCTTTTTTATTTTCCTATTATTTTCACTTTTTCGCTTTTTGCCCAGATTTTATGCTCTAGCTTTATGAGTTTGTTTACATAACTAGTTACTATTTAGTATAGCATGAGCTGCTTGAGCCGGCTACGTGAGTGTTCATTAAAAGTACTTGAAAAGTATTCAGTTAGTAAAAGTTGGGAAAGTTGAATAATCGCTTGCTTTTTTGTGTGTTTTTGGATAAAACCTTTTTGGATATGTTGCTGACGGTTTAAGGTAGCCACGACATCCCCCAAAATATTTCGGAAAAATTTTAAGATTTACGTAAGCTGGACCGATTTGAAATTACCTCCAAAAATCTAATTATTTTTATTCCGTTGATAAAAGCTCTTTTATCGGACTATCGACGACATTTCCAGCTGGTATCGAGCTATGTATGTAGAAGACTAGCAGCTATCTCTAAAGCATAAATCTCAGCTTCGAATACGTTTGGTAGACGAAAATGCTGACTAATCGACATGTCCTCCGAGTAGTTAGGGAATGGCGTCCATTTCTTGCTCCCTGTTTTGAACCGATGGTGCAATTTTTATGCGACTAAAAATTTGTGTGCAATTTATAAACAACGCAAAAACTATTTCAAGGTTTTTTATGTCTAGAAATGCCTACAACTAAGTATCCTTTTTTGAACTTGATGAAAATTTATATTTATGTAAAATGTTCAAAAATATATCGAACCCTAATCGCCGAAAAGGCGTAAGCGAAATTTTGTTTTTGATGCCGAAATGTTCCTAGAGCATCTAGAAGCATTTCTGCATCAAAAATAAATATTTGAAAAAAATGTCCTGTACGTCTTTTTGGCGGTTAGGGCTCGATATGCTGTTTTTAAATTATCACGAGTTCTTGAATGACCTAAAAATTTATGTTCAGTTTGAAAGTGACCAAAAGCTTACATGCATACATACGACGTTCCATTTTAAAATACCTTTAACATATTTTCTGTTTTAGTTTTTAATGTTCAAAAACGTATGTCCAGTTTTATGCTATATGAACTTTAACCAAGTTTTTATGTGACCAAAAACATATGTCCAATTTGTAAATTATCGTACATTTTTTCTCGTTTTTACGTGGCCAAAAATGTATGTCCAATTTTAAAATGATATCACGTTTTTTCTCAGAATTTAGATAAATTTCCAAAATGGATGTTCAGTTTTAGTGAGTTAGTTTAGTGGTAAGATGTCCAATTTTAAAATAACCAAACATTCATGCCGAGTTTTAGAATTCTACGCCCAGTATTTAAACGATTTAAAATTTATGAAAGAAATATATATATATATATATATTTTTTTTTATTACCGAAAATTATGAAAAATTCATGTCCATCTAATTGCGTTTTATTTCGCACTTTTCAGGTGACCCTTATTAATGGAAATAATGTTAAAGCTGCTGGTGGTACTTACAACATCAACATGCTTATTTTCGACTGTTAATTCCGGAGTACCAATCGGTTGGTATTATAAAACCCTCTTTTAAGAAATCATTCTAGTATCCATCGTCTACCTTATTTTAATCAATATCTTATCCCCTATCCCAGCTACTGGCGGTCCATCGGTAATCTACGAAGGTAAAGACGCGCTGCTCACATGTGTTGTATCAGAGAACCGAGCCAATCACACAGTGATATGGAAGAAATCCGACGAAATACTCACAGCCGGTATGGTGAGAGTGACGAGCGACACACGCATCAGCGTGTTGCATGATGAGAGTGAGTGGAAAAGGGGTACATACTACTTATTAAGTGTGTTTGCTTGTGATACCGATGATATTATACATGCATCTTTCGTTTAGATCCCAAAGGTCTTGAGTCTGGTGGGGAGGTATGGGTGTTGCTTGTCAAGCGACTTACCACCGAGGACTCGGGTAGTTATATTTGCGAGCTAAATTCAGAACCGGTCTTGCGTAGTATACACATACTAAACGGTGAGAAGGGTGGAGAGAAGAGTTACACCCCGAGAGTCTAAGGATACCTTGCTGGTATCTGTATTGTGCATTTTTTATTTACTACATTGTCTTTGTTCTTTTTTATTCATACCCAGTCAAGCAGCTACCCTCTAATGGCGGCAACATCACTACCACAACAGAGTCAAGTGATGTGTATCTCGTGCCGCCACCGTTCGATGCTACCGACAATCGCTCGTTTTGGCGCGCGCCCACGGTCGCGCCGCAGATCACCCACGACTTCACTGAGTGCTGTGAGCGCGCCAATATCAGCG